GATCCCACTAGAATGTAAAATGAAAAGTAAGGGAGGGGAGGCTCTACTAGACTGGGCAGCTTTAGATACAGAACCAGGCACATAGGAGGATTTACATTTCTGAGCCATGGAAGCAGATATTGACTTTTCTTTTCCAGATTTAGCTAATATTCAGAAAGGGAATCCAGCACCTGCCTTCCAGATTTGAACACCCTCAAAATTCAGGAGTGCTCAAGCTCAATTTGGGCACTTCATTTCCCCCAAATCAAATATACTGATCCACTGTAACTTGCTGTAGAAAAAGTAGAATAAATTGAGCAAGAAATGCTTCCCAGTGGTTATTAGGACTGGAATTTCTATTTTGCTCTTTTTTTTTTTAAGTTTTAGTTTTATTTGTTTAAAAGGAAGTATCGTGATAGTGCATTCCCCATAGAAACAAAGAATGGAACAAAAGAATAATAAAGGCACCTCAACTTTTCCTCATTTATGTAGGACAGTCTTATAATATGCATCCAGATATCCTCCAGTCACGCAAGCTGAAAATTGTTCCACTTTACTGCAGTTCTGTAACCATATGGGAACCAATCCTGTCTGTGTTCTGTGCACATCCAAAATTCCTGCTGAATGACCTGCCCTGGGAGCGAGTTACCAGTGACCCAGGGCTGGGGTGGCAGGAGGTTGCAGTTTGGGGAGGGGGAAAGGGGGAGAGCCCAGGGCTGGGGTGGGGGGCAGCCAAAAAATGTTTTGCTTGGGGCAGCAAAAAACCTAGAGCCGGCCCTGCTAACAACAGGATTTTTTTCCAGTAATCTGGGAATTTACTAGTTGGAAGAGACTGAGGAGAAAGATCTCAGTTTACTGGTGAATTACAGGATGGCTATGAGTGACCAATGTTATGTGGCCATGAAAAAGGCTAATGCAGTCCAAGGATGCATTAGGTGAGGTATTTCCAATTGAGATAATCAAGTTCTGTTATGATTTCACAAGGCACTGGTGAGATTTCCTCACTGGAATACTGTATGAAGTTCTGGTCTCCCATGTTTAAGAAAGATGAATTCAAACTGGAACAACTGCAGAGAAGGGTTACTAGGATAATCAGAGGAATGGAGTACCTATCTTATGAGAGGAGATTTAAGGATCATGGCTTTTTTAACCTAACCAAATGAAGGCTGAGGGGAGATATGATTGTACATCAGAGAGAGGGAAAGGGGTTATTTAAGTTAAGGGTCCATGTTGGTACAAGAACAAATGGTTATAAAGGTTTCTAACCATCAGAGGAGTGAAGTTCTAGAACAACCTTTCAAGGGGAGTAATAGGGTGCAAAAAACCTAACTCATTTCAAGACTGAGCTTTGATAAGTTTATGGAGAAGATGGTATGATGAGGTTTCCTAGAATGATATATGGCCCATCAGCCACTTCAATTAGCAGATATCTCCACCTGGTGCTAGGCACTAGATGGCGAGGGCTCTGATTTACTACAGAGAGATCTTTCTCACCCACATAATCAGAGTCTAACTGATCACTATGATTGGGGTTGGGAAGGTATTTTCTCCAGTCAGATTAGCAGGGATCCTGTTTGTTTGTTTTGCCTTTTTCTGGGGCGTGGTTCAAATGCTGGTTTGAACTAGAATAAATGATGGATTCTCTGTAACTTGAAGTATTTAAAACAAGATTAGAGGATGTCAGTAACGCAGCCAACAGGTTATGGGCCTTTTTCAGAAGTGCGTGGCTGAGGTTATGTGGACGGCAGTGTGCAAGATATCAAACTAGATGATTACAATGGTCTCTTTTGGCCTTAAAATCTATGAGTCTATCATTTCTATGAAGCTTCCTTACCAGATCTGTTCAATAAGTCTATAGCTAAATCCCAAAAAGGGGTTGAGCACCTACAACTGTAGGATGTCTCCTCAGCAACGCAAACTGCTGGGAGCACATCAGACCTGTCGTCTGTTCTCTATGATGGTTTCCCATAGAATCTCAATTCACTGTCCTTGCCATCCCCCTGACAATTGACATCCCTGTGAAATTTCAAGTTCCTGCTTCAAGTCAAGGTGGCACTAAGGATTGGAAGAGACCTCATGAGGTCATCTAGTCCAAACCCCTGCACAAAGCAGGACCAACCCCAATTAAATTATCCCAGCCAGGGCTTTGTCAAGCCAGGCCTTAAAAACCTCTGAGGATGGAGATTCCAGGCCTTTTCCTTCCACAGAGAGGATGGACGAGAACATGACTTGCACCTCAAACTCCTTTATCCTTCTTCCCAGAGCCACATAGTCTGCAGTGACCCACTCAAGGTCATTCTTGGCAGTATCATTGGTGCCCCTGTGGAGAAGTAGGAAGGAGTAGCAGTTCGAGGGCTTGATCAGTCTCGGCAGACACTCCGTCACATCCTGAATTCCAGCTTCAGACAAGCAGCACACTTCTCGAGGTTCCCAGCCTGGATGGCAGATGGATGACTCTGTCTCCCATTAGAAGCAAATTCCTGACCATCACCAACTATCTCCTCCTCTTGGGAGTGGTGGTCGTGGAACCCCATCCCTAGGAGAATGCATCCCATACCTTCCAGTCGATGGGGTCTTCTTCTGATCCATACCCTCAGATGACTCATCCAAATCATTCTCCACCGCAATACCTGTGCAGAGAGCATGAAAATGGTTTCTTACCTCTATCTGCATTGGATGTACATGGGTTTTCCTCTTTCTTTTTCTGGAGGTCACATGCTGCCAATTTTCTTTCCTGTTCTGCACTGCCCTCTCTCATTCTTCAGCATGCTGTGCCTGCAGTACTAAACACTGACATCTATCCAGAAAAATCTTCATTTTCTCTGATGCAACGTGGGGTTGATACTTAGGTCTCTAGTCCTTTAACCTTCTCTTCCAATATGGAGACCAGTTTACATTTTGTACAGACAAAGTTGCTTCTATCCTCTGGGAGAAAGACAAACATGGCACATCCTGTGCAGGTCACAACAGCTGATCACTCACTATCCATATTGTATTCCTTCTAAGAGCCTCTTCAAATGTTATATCTACCTCTCACAGAAGCCTGAAAGGCAAAACCTCTGTGGGAATTTCCCCCAGGTAAACTCCCAAGGAAACTCCCTCTGTTTTCTTCTTCTCTGTTCGCAGCTCACTTCGTTCAAAAGTGACTGCTTCTTTATAAGGCTGCTGGCTCAAAGCAGTTGCCCCAGCTCAAAGCCTTCCCTCCAATCAACCATGCAAGGCTCACCTGGAACAAAGTACTCCCAATTCATATTTTTTGAACAGACACACAATCAAACAGTCCCTGCAACTAGCAGCAGTCAAACAAATGGTCATAGCAGAAACTTGGATATTCACCGTACCAGCTCACAACACAGCCCCCCTAATTCACCATAGCTCCTCTTGGATGGTTCCCAGGCAAACTCCCTCTTTTGGCTTCTCCTCTGTCTGCCTACTCTGTTTTTCTGCCTGCAAACACTTAAGACTTGACTTTCTCTTAAAAAGAACAGTCAGATATTGTGGCTGTAGTCTGGGGTTTTCCCTCAAGAGCAAGGAATATACCAGATGTTGGGAAAAGGAAACTATGTCAAGACACAGAGAGGTAGCCTTGTTAGTCTGGATCTGAAAAAAACAAAAGAGAGTCCTGTGGCACCTTTAAGACTAACAGATGTATTGGAGCATAAGCTTTCATGGGTGAATGCCCACTTCGTCGGATGTATCCGACGAAGTGGGCATT